GCCTCTTGGGGCCTCGCAGGGGCTTCCTAGGGCCGAGGGCTCGAAATGTTGTTTCGTGTTCCCTCTCTGGGGCCCCTTTGGGGGCGTTCTTGGGGCCCTCTTGGGCCGTCTTGGAGGCTTCTTGGGCCGTCTTCGAGCCCTCTTGGGCCATCTTGGGGCCCTCTTGGGGGCCTCTGGTGCCCTCTTGGGGCGAGCTTGGGGGCCTCTTGGGCCGTCTTGGGGCGTCGGGAAGCCGAAAAGGTGGAAGCTCAAAAATCGTTCAAAAACATCAGAAAACAATATATATATATATATGTACATATATATATATATGTATATATATATATAAATGCCTCCGGGGGCCCTCTTGGGAGTGCTCTTGGAGGCCTCTTGGGGCGTCTGGGGGCTATCTTAGGCGTCTTGGAGCGATCTTGTGGCATGTCGGACCCCTCGTGTACCATCTTGGGGGCCTCTTGGGGGTTTCTTGGCCTTTCTTGGGGCTCTCGGGGACGTCTCGGAGCCCTGTTGGTGCGCTCATGGAGCGCTCCTGGAGCGCTCTGGGGGAGTCTCCCGGGGATCGCCCGGGGGTCGGTCGGGGTACTTTTCGCCCGGGGGCCCCCAGGGGCCGCCCCGCGCGCGCGAACTAGAGAATTGTTAACCAGCTACCGGAGATCTTAGCACGCCTCTGGCCCGCTGGGCCGGCGAATTACCAATATCGATCGGCGCATGGAAGAGTGCGAGCTTCAGTGGAAACCTCGCCCTGTTGAGCACCATTTTTCGAGTGCTAGCGACTGGGAGGATCTAGGCTGTTCGGTGTCCTTCGTTTACGATTTCACTCCCATCTCCTCTGCCGACGATGCCGCTGACGTGCCGAAGAAAGCGGCTAGACTGATAGATATTGCGTACGACTGCGTTTCTCAGTACGGACTTCAGCTGAACGCGTCGAAGATATATCTTGCGATATCTCTGGCTGGCAAGAATGCCAAGAAGACCAGACAAGCCATGGCCATGCAGGGGGGGGGGGGGGGTCCGAAGATCATGGGGTCCAGGTCACCAGGGTTAAACAGATAAAAGGATTAGGCACTATGTTGGTTGAGAGCGGAAGTCCGAATCCTGAGATTGCTCACAGGATTGCTCAAATGCGTAGGGAGTTCAGGCCCACCCAGACGGCGATTGGGAAGAGAAAGCAGCTCGACCTGAGCATCAAGACGAGGTACACTGACGCTTACGCGCTCTCTAAGATGTGGTTTAATGCGGCTGTCTGGGAGCCCCTCCCCAAGCGTGCGCAATGAAAGGTTGCTGCCGCGCAAGCCACTGCGTGCCGCGCCGCGCTAGGGAAGCCTCTTTTTTTTGAGGGGGGGTGGCAAAGATGATCAGGAGTCGCATGACGAAATAGTGCGCGTTGTGGGCCAGCTTGGACGCCGAGCTTTTTCAAGAATTGCCCGACTCAGGTACTTGCCTCGAGTGCTTTCTACTGGGCCCAAGGGTTTCAGAGTGTGTCTTGACCATTTGTAGGAGGACAAGGGGAGTTGGGCCCAAGAGCTTAGGAAGGATCTGCTCTGGATGAATCCGTCGACCAACAAAACTGATGTCCCTGGAGCCGGCTTAGAGCAAGACTGGCTTGAGTTCGGGAGAGCCCATGGCAAGATATGTTGAGGCCTTGTTGCAGAGGCTGCCAGGCGCGAGCTGTTCAGACAGCGCCAGGAGTTCTTCGCCAGGGACGTGGCCAAAGAGCTCAAGTCTCTGGGGCTTGCGGAGATGAAGGGAGATGGAGGAGTGGAGGAGAGTGCCGAGGAGTTGGAGGAGCAGCAGCATCAGGGCTTCTTGTGCTATGAATGTGGACACGTTGCCCCAACTAGAATAGGAATGGCCGTTCACAGGGGTAAGTGTCACAAAGTTTTAGATGACCCCGCCAGGTGGGCCGTGGGAACGCGCTGCAATGTTTGCATGTGGCAGTTCCACACTCACGGCCGAGTGCTGAAGCACCGAAACAAAATAAAAGATGCGCTCAGTGTTATGCTACATTAGGAAGAGTGGTGGGTCCTGAGGAGATGGCGTACTGGAGGAGCGAGAGTACCTCGCTTCAGAAGAAAAACAGAGCTGCGGGAGGACACGACCATGCTGTCGAGCGTGCTGCTTTTCTGCTTGTCGGACCTCCGATCTGTGAGCGTTTGCATAAGGAGGTCAGTGCTGTGTGTTTGCCGCCTGCGGCGCCGAGATTGCAGGCGGTGAGCGAGGAGAATGGGGTTCAGGTCGGTGCTACTGTGCGTCCTTTTTTTTCTGATCGTTGGCGAGGGTCAGCGTGGGCCAGGTGACTTCCATCAGAAGCTCTGCGCCCAGTGTGCGAGCTCGGAGGTCAAAATGCACATCCTACACTTGAGTCGTGAGCAGTGGGCCCAGCAAGATCTGGGCAAATGGCTTGAACTTGTCCAGTCGGGAGGGCTCGCGGGGGGAGCCTTCTTCCTCCCGTCTTGGAGGGGAAGCATTTCGGCTCGTGAAAAAGTGCTGCGATCGAAGGAGTTGCCGTGGGGGAACCCCTGTGCTAACGCGAGGGAAAGGGGCGTGCTCGAGGTTGAAAATGCCTGCATCCGTGGGGGGTTGGCCCTGTTGGTGGCCGCCAAAAAGCTGACGGTCCCATGGGCTTGCATTGGCTCCAAGAAAATGGGGGGGGGTCCTTTGCCTGGAGTGACCATCCTTGGGTAAAAGAACTTAGAGGGCAGAGAGTGGCCAGGCCACGTGAGCTGCACCGCTGCGCGTTCAGTCCAGGACAGGTCCTTGACCCGTTCGTGCTGCTCCAAGTCGGGCTGGAAGATTTGGAGGGCATATTAAATGGGTTGAGGGCTCAGGGGTTGTGCGAAGGAGGACATGGGCACATTGCGAAGGAGGGGGAGAGAGCTTGCCTGCAGAGGGAGTTGCCAGACAGGTTCTTGGACTGGATGGCTGAGGGGATTGGAGGTGCCTGGCAGCGTATGGGGCAGAGGTTGTCTGAGGATGAGGGAGATGTCGTGGGCCCTGAGTGGGAACACTCCTAAAGGCCTCTGGACCTTTTTGCGCCCTGGCCTGGCCGTCGCTCTCTCTTGCGGTGCCTGGGTGTGGTTGCTGGATGTGGCCCTTGATGTCACGACTGCCTTGCATCGCAGGTAGCCCCGAAGTGGGTTTCTCCGTACTGTCTCTGCCTCCCATGTTCCTTGAGTAGGCTACAATGTTTAACGGCCTTTAGATCGACCGACCGACCGACCGACAGGGAGGAGGAGGAGGAGAAGGAGGAGGAGGAGGAAGGGGAGGAGTAAAGGAGGAAGAATAACAAGGGAGGGGGCGTGAAGAGGGGGGGCAGCGCCGACAAGACAGGGGACAGGAGAGGGAAGGGGGGGAGAGGGGGAAAGGGAGGGAAACGGGAAGACAGGAAAGCAGGAGAGACAGCAAGAGAAACGCACAGCAGAGCGAAGGGGAACAAGAAGTACAGCAAGACAACAACAAGGACACGCAATGAGAGCGCCTTATATGGATGGCGGCCCGGCCGCCAGAACATGTATGGATGGCATCACCGCTTGCCGATGTAGGCATCGATTATTCGCTCAACGATGTCATTCCTACTGCCGTTTTCACTCAGATGTAAGCGACGTGCCTGGAGCCGGAGATTGTCAGATGTGAAAGAGTTCATGCATTCTCGAATGTGGGCCCTCTTCATGTTGGATGGCACTCTGGATGGCTGAGAATCCAAACGCACTCTTTGTCCAAGCTTTGCTGCTGCGGCCTTGGATGTCGCAGCGGCTCAACTGTTCAGGAGGAGGAGGATCCAGGAATCACAAGAATAAATGAGCGCCGCACGCATCGGCGACAAGCCCTTCTTCCACACGGAATCGGCGCGCTCCGGCGACGGATCGGGCGGCATTGGCCTCGAGGGGGAGGAGGAGGAAGAGGAGGAGGAGGAGGAAATGGAGGAGAAGGAGGAGGAGGAAGAGGAGGAGGAGGAGGACCGAGGAACACATGGATTTGCGCCGCACCGACGAGTGACAGGCCCTAGTCCTGCGCGGAATCGACGCGTTCCGTCGACGGATCGGGCGGCGATGGCCTGACGTTTCGAGGGGTACTTTCCCTGGGCGCGGGTCTGGCGGGCGCTTGCCAGGCCCACGAAATTCCAATCCATGTTGGCGTGCGCCCGAATCGCCGGACCTTGCAGGATCCTGCAGAGCCAGGGGTGGACCGACCGGGTCTTGGGTGCGGGACCCTGCAGGATCCTGCAGAGCTTGATTGACCCGGGTGTGCATTAACCTGGGTCAGTGCGTCCCCGACTCGATATTCCCAGACATTTAACGTAGTGAACAAACGAGACAGAGGTTACTGTCAGGAACGTTTGGATAGCGTGTCGGTCCGCCGGTTCTAGCCCCCCACACCTCGGCGCGACACGCTATCCACTTCGCGGTCCCGAGGCGTCAACGTCTCAAGCTTCCCCGAACCTCCCGCCCCGCGGAGCGGAGCGACACGCGATCCGCTCCAGGGCAAAGCGGTCGCCGAGGTCGCGGCCGCGGTCGCCGCGGGGACGTGTTATTCAAAACATCCCGGCCGTATTATTCGTTGTTCCCTGGGGGCCTTCGCTGCGCCCCAGGACCGTGAACAAAACGGCCCAGACTGTAGAGTTTGCCTTGGGGAAAGGGTTGGGTCTTCGTGGGCCCCGTCTTGAAAAATCTAGGCTTCCCAGATGGGTTCCGAGATGGGGTCGGAGGATCGCGCCGCATCGCCGATGCATCGCCGATGCGGTTCGCTGGGGAGCCCGATTTTCTCCACGCCGACGGCGCCGATGCATCCCCGACGTCGCCGAATCGCCGATATACTGTCGATGCGGCGCGATCCTCCCACCCCATCTACTCGAACCCAATTTGGGAGGCCCCTAAAAAGTCAAGACCCCGGATGCCTGAGAGCCTCATCTACATATCTCTCTTACAACGGACGGGACGGCAGAACCGCGACAGCGACGTCGATAGTTAGGCGGGCACCTGAGCGGTGGCACCTGACAGCTGCAGGCGCCCAGCACCGGCAATGGCGGCACCTGGGGCCTGAACAACTTCGGTTTCGATTGA